GCCTCACTACAAAAACGCACCTCAAACGCTCGGTTTGGACGTACGCCTCTTGAGACTTTCGCCACACACCATCATCTCAGGGCATTTTTGGTGCGCCTCGCCCCAGGACTAGCCTTGAAAACGCCTTTTAAAACACGGGTTTATCGAAACTAATTTATTTCTATTTTCGAATATAGAAACCAATTCAATGGGTTGAAAAATGAGCTCCGCACCTAATATTTAACTCCATCGACTAATTAGCTACTAACATGGGTGGATGCACGCTTATCGAAGCGGTGTCGCACGACACCGCTTCTTCGGTACTAAATATATGTATTAATATTGTATGAAATGGATAAGTAGGAAGTCATCACTTGACAAAAAAATGTCTTGGTGTGTTGGTTAGGTGCTTGATTTTGCTCTAAGAGGTCAAAGGTTCAAACCTCAACTAGCATAATTTTATTTTGCAAATATTTGATAGAGCCTTTGTGGTTAAAAATTGTGATGAAGTGGAATTGAACTCAGGACCTTTTCTAACTTAAGACTCAACAAAGCCAATAGACTAAGCTATTTCTTGTCTAAAAGTATGATAATCAAAGTTATATTCCAGTTCTTCTTCAAATTTCAACACCGCTTAAAAAATTTCCTGCATACGCCCCTGGCTACTAACAACATTAAGTTCTTACAAACTAGAATAAATTAGTACACGCGTAATCAGAGGCAGAGTTAGAATTTTGAGTTTATAGGTTCTGAATTTTAGAAAATATAATATACTGGGTCTAAACAAATAATTTATACATATTAAGTAAAGGAATTTTTACCTTTCTATACACTATTTGAAACCTTATTACCCTCCCTACTCAAGTTTCAATTTAATAACATGGTCATATACAATTTACCAACTATATACAGATAAATTTTAAATGAGTATCCGTTTATATTAGGAATTGAATAAGGAATATCAGTTATTTCTTTATTCCTTTATACTCTCTCTCTCTCTCTCTCTCTCTCTCTCTCTCTCTCTCTCTCTCTCTACTCTCTTAGAACTCTCGAGAACCTCCATTGGAGCTCCTGTCTCAGCTTCATTTCTTCATCGCAGTGTTAATCTCAATATGGAATCAGAGCACGGTTGAACACGTCTGCTCGAAGTCTACCGAAATTCCTTTTTCAGTATCTCAAAATCTCTTTTCCTCTGTCATATGCTAGGGCTTTAGATTCATCGCTTCGATGTGCAATTTTCATACGGATTGAAGAATTTTCAGTAAAATTGAGCTATCTACTCACAAAATCGGTTGATATATTCATCAATTTCATCGATTAGAGATTATCAAATTGTTGTCGATCAGAACGAGGAAACCACGCCAAGTACGAGCAGAAATGACCAACCAGTCATCGATGCGAGCAGTCCTTTGTACATTCACCCTTCAGACAGTCCTGGAATAATGCTAGTGCTGGTTCCATTTGATGGAATTGGGTATAGATCTTAGAAAAAGGGGGTATTGAGACAACAATAACGACCCAATATAGTCCCACAAGTGGGGTCTGGGGAGGGTAGTGTGTACGCAGACCTTACCTCTACCTCGATGGAGTAGAGAGGTTGTTTCCGATAGACCCTCGGCTTAAGAAGAGGAAAAGACAAAAAGAGAAAATATATCACTACCAGCATGGAAATAATAACAACAACACAAGAACCAGTGAATAGATGAAAGGCAGAAATAATGACGAGTAAATAATGCCCGGCACTATAAAAACGGATGAGTAGTGTAAACACAGCACTGACCACTAGCAGTCTAAGACTAAATCCTATCAGCCTAGCCTCACATTGGAAGACTAAATATGTTCAACTACCTCCTAACCCACAACCTTAATGCTCGACCTCCACAGCTTCCTATCGAGTGCCATGTCCTCGAAGATTTGAAGTATCGCCATATCCCTCCTAATCACCTCTCCCCAATACTTCTTAGGCCGCCCTCTACCTCTCCTCATACCCACCAATGCCAACCGCTCACACCTCCTTACCGGGGCATCCAAGCTCCTCCACTAAACATGCCCGGACCATCTAAGTCTCGCTTCCCGCATCTTATCATCAATAGGAGCCACGCCCACCTTCTCCCAAATATTTAATCCATCCCAGTGTGCCCGCACATCTACCTCAATATCCTCATCTCCGCTACTTTCATCTTCTGGGTATGTGAGTTCTTAACTGGCCAACACTCAGCCCCATACAATATGGCCGGCCTAACCACCGCTCTATAAAACATACCTTTGAGTAGCGGAGGCACTTTCTTGTCACACAAGACTCCAGATACTAACCTCAATTTCATCCACCCCACCCTTATACGGTATGTGACATCCTTGTCGATCTCCCCACCCCCATGGATAACTGACCCAAGGTACTTGAAATTGCCTCTCTTGGAAATGACCTGCGATCCAAGCCTCACGTCCCTTACCGCTTCCCTCAGCTCGGCACTGAACTTACACTCAAGATATTCCATCTTCGTCCTGCTCAACTTGAAACCCTTTGACTCACTCAAGGGCTTTTCTCCAAACCTCCAGCCTCTCGTTAACGCCACTCCACGTCTCGTCAATCAGAATAATATCATCAGCGAATAACATACACCATGGCACCTCTCCTTGAACATGGTGTATCAGTGCATCCATCACAAGAGCAAACACGAATGGGCTGAGCGCAGATCCTTGGTGTAACCCCATAACAACCGCAAAATGCTCGGAGTCGCCTCCCATTGTCCTAACCCGAATCTCAGCTCCATCTTACATGTCCTTAATCGCCCTAATGTAAGCAACCGGCACACCTTTAGCCTCTAGGCATCTCCAAAGAACCTCTCTAGGAACCTAGTCATACGCTTTCTCTAGATCAATAAACACCATGTGCAAATCCTTCTTCCTATCCCTGTACTGTTCCACCAACCTCCTAATGAGGTGGATAGCTTCCGTAGTAGAACGACCCGGCATGAACCCGAACTGGTTACTTAATTGTTATATTATTCCCAATTTGTACTATGCTGAGTCAGCATGTAACAATACCTAGTTAGTTGTAGTAGTTATACAATTAGTTGTATTTTGTACAACTGTCATACGTGTACCTATATACACATTTTGCAATAATGAGAAGTTAGTAGAGTTTCATATCACAATTCATTTTATACTCTCTCTCTCTACTCTCTTAGAACTCTCGAGAACCTCCATTGGAGCTCCTGTGTCGGCTTCATTTCTTCATCGCATTGTTAATCTCAATAACCAACATTCATCACAAAGGTTGTGGTGGAGTGTATGTACTTTTTTCTCCTTAATAAGAGGTCGGGAGTTTGAGATCTCGGATATGAAATCGTTTTTAGTAAGGAGCGTTTTACTCCCAAAGTGAAATTTCTCGGTGCGAATATGAATTAATCGGGCTTCAGTACGAATACCGCATACTAAATAAAAACCCCAAAAAAGATATTGATCAATGTTCACTTTGGATGAAATTATGATGTTTGGTCAATTAGTTTTTGTCACATGACTTGTGACTAATAGCCTGTTTGGCCATGCTGCAACAATCAGCTTATTTTGAGAAGTACTTTTTTTCAAAAGTGCTTTTCTCAAAAGTACTTTTGGTGAGAAGCAGTTTGTGTTTGGCTAATTAGTTTGAAAAGCACTTCTGAGCAGCAATTAGTGTTTGGCCAAGCTTTTAAAAACTGCTTCTAAGTGTATTTTTCTCAAAAGTGCTTCTCAAAAAAGTGCTTTTGGAGAGAAGCTACTTTTTTTTGCTTCTCCAAAACTGCTTCTGCTTCTGCTTTTCCTCAAAACACTTTTTTTTCTTCCAAAAACTTGGCCAAACACCTCAATTTTTGACCAAAAGTGCTTTTGGCCAAAAAAAAGCACTTTTGGCCAAAAAGAAGCTTGGCCAAACAGGCTATAAGCATCAGCTATTATGAAGCTAGTAATTAGCATCCACTTCCAAGGAAAAGACTGGCTACCAAATTGTTACGTACAGTGTTTAAATTTAGTTCGTTATGCACTGCTTATTGCTCCATTATTTTCATGTTTCTTTCAAAGTGTTTTGGACCTCTGTTGTATTAAGCACCGTCTTGAATTATTTTGTTCCAAATGTTTGGTATTGCCATTATTGTTGGTTGAGATGCTTCCTTAAATGTTTTGCACAGCGAGTTCAACCTTTTTACGTGTAAAATTTAGAATAAAAAAGGTCATATTTACCCCTCTATTGTCACAAATAAATTATATTTATCCTTCGTTTCACTTTTCTAATAAACATACCTCTACCTTCTAACTTTTGAACCATTTTACCCTTCATCCGTCAAAACTACATTCAGAGCCTAAAAGAGCCACGTGTCAAGCCCCATATTAAACCCCGAACTGACCCGAGTCACCCGACCCACCCTTTTACCCATCACCCAGTGGAAGTTAGAGGAGTAAATAGAGGGGTAAATATGTATACAATAAGTTGAAGTTATATACACCGTTAGTGTAAAGAATTTTTATACTATTAGGTCACTCAAAGATTATTTATAGATACGTTTCTCTAAAATGTAAGATTTATAGAAAACTTGCCACAACAGGTAAAGGACACGGATAGATAGGGAGATTGAAATAATAGTTATCAATATAATCTAATTACTTATAGTAGATTACTGCTTTTCAATTTACCAAATTCATACTTATTGTAAAACTCTATAATAAGAACCTTTGACTAAAAAAAACCATTGGACTCTACTCACATGCCTTTCTATGTTTAGAATAGCTGTATCCTAATGGCAATTAAAGAACAGACATATTCCGATGAGGTAGTGAAAATTAGAGATCTCATTTTCATCCAAAAAGAAAGAACCCCACACGTATACCAATACTTTTGTTTGTTCCCAATGATTTTGAATAAACTAAGGTTTACAGCTCACAGCCCTTGCCCCAGTTGTCCATAATTACTCTCATTAAAACAGATCCTTCCCTACTATGTTTCAGCTTCATATTCCACCTATAAATAGCCCTCCTTTACAAATCATAACATCATCATCTCACATTCTTCCCTTTTCTCTTGAACAATATCAGTTCAGAAAATGGCTTCTAAATTTTCATCAGTAATGCTTCTGCTTTGCATAGTAATGAGCATTCAATTATTAGCAGCCTCAGCTGGTAACTTCTACAGAGATGCTGTCATTACGTGGGGCGAAGGACGAGGTAAAATACAAGAAGGTGGCAGAGGTCTTGCCCTCACTCTTGATAAATTATCAGGCTCTGGTTTTCAGTCCAAGAATGAGTATTTATTCGGAAGATTTGACATGCAACTCAAGCTTGTCCCTGGAAATTCTGCTGGCACTGTCACCACTTTCTTTGTAAGTTGCTCTTACTACCCTAATTCTTGTAATAGTATGTCGTATATGCTAATGGATTGTTCTGTTCGTTTCTTTGTTCATGTAGTTATCTTCGCAAGGAGAAGGACATGATGAGATTGATTTTGAGTTCTTGGGCAATGTTTCTGGCCAGCCTTACACTGTCCATACCAATGTCTATACACAAGGAAAAGGAAACAAAGAACAACAATTCCACCTTTGGTTCGATCCAACTGCTGCATTTCACACTTACACCATTGTCTGGAACCCTCACCGCATAGTGTAAGTTAGACGATCACCTTACATATGTCTTTCTTATATATCCAGAGTTTAACTTCTAAACACTGAAAGTGTAAAAGAATTTCTTACACTATCAAGTCAAACTAGTTACCTAAAAAAAAAAAGCATATCCACGATTTCTATAACAGATTAAATTACACTGATAGTGTAAAAAGAAAAACTTACATTGTTAATGTATATAAGTTAAATCTAAATTCTTGTATTTCTGTTAGTTATACATTTTATCTTACCAATTCTTTGATATAATCAGGTTCTTAGTGGATAACAGCCCCATTAGAGTATACAACAACCATGAAAACATTGGCATTCCATTCCCAAAGAGCCAAGCAATGAGAGTATACTGCAGCTTGTGGAATGCAGATGAGTGGGCTACACAAGGAGGCAGAGTCAAAACAGATTGGTCACTTGCTCCTTTCACTGCTTACTACAGAAACATCAATATTGATGGTTGTGCAGTGTTATCCGGTACCTCGTCGTGTAAATCAAGCAATTCAGCAAACAATGTTAAGCCATGGCAAACTCATGAACTTGATGGTAAGGGAAGGAATAGGCTAAGATGGGTACAAAGCAGACACATGGTTTACAACTATTGTGCTGATTCTAAGAGGTTTCCTCAAGGTTTTTCTGAAGAGTGCAAGCGTTCAAGGTTTTAGAAGATGGGTTCACTTGATCTACTTCCTAATGTTCAATGCATATTCCATTGGTTTTTGGGATTGGTTGTTTGCCTGTGAGATGAGAGTATGAAATTCTTTATTCTTTGTACCAATAAAAGTTCTGTTTGTTACTCATTTCGTTGTGTATTCAAGTTTCTTTTTGTAATGAAATGTGTATTGTTACTTTCTTTCTTTATAAAATAATGTTATATCATGGTGGAAGGATGTGCTTACTCGATGAAGTACACGAGCAATTTCTGTTCAAATATGAAGTTTTCAACTTTTAAAACACATCATTTTGTCGTAAGATATAGAATAAAAGTAGTATAAATAGATGAAAAGTTTAGTTTAAACACTCATAAATTAGAAGATACAAAGCCTATATTACGTCAAGAAATTGAGAAGACTAACCTCAGGAGTATATATTCAGACAACAATAAGGTAGTTGGATGTACAATATCATCACATATCCTTTCCAGTTATCATATATCTCCGAGCTAATTGGCAGTGATTCTGGATTGAAATTTGAATTCTAGAAGAATGGATAGGTCACTATCTTGAAAAAAGAAAAACCTCAGTAGCTTTCATATGCATAAATTTCATGCACAATGAATCAAACTATTTGTATTTCAATATACTACAAAGATTGATATACTTCGCGGACCGATGGCTTCATTCCAAACTTTAAGGTAACAATGTACTTATGACTTATGAGTTCACATGTTTCAGGAAAGCATGACAGTAAACTCAACCGAGTTTACCATTAAAAACCTTAAAACCTCTGAAGCAAGCTTTACTCCTACTTCTCCATTCGGCCTGCAGAAGATAGAGCGAGAAACAATTAGAAATGATAAGAAGAAACTAGCATCTGGTCCAAGCACCATTGTAATTAACAGTTGAAGAAGGAATATTTCATTGCAAAATACACAAATAAATGGATAAGGACTGTTCTCACTATCAGTTTCAGAAATGCCAAGCAACATCGGCGGTTGCACCGCTACACACGTTTAGTTTCGCACCTAAAGTCCGCTGTCCCCCTCCCCTCACCACTCCATGTTTTCCTGACCAATAGAGTAGCCAACCCAAAAAAAGAACATCACATTGCAATTGCCCTTTTATATTCCATTCCAGGCACTCAGCCACTATTTACGGATTATCCAATTATTCTCAACATGAACCGAAAACAAGCTCCTGTATACTAGTTGTGCTTTGGAAATAACCTCCCAGCGATCTTTTTTTATGGCAAACAGTCCCAACCATCACATATACATGATGCCTACTTCTTCAAGTCCAACTCCTAAGACCAAAGGAGAAGTTGACTATGTTCTCTGAGTGTTTTTTTGCCTCATTAGTTTGCTCTCGTCTTTATTCTCAGCAACTTCTGAAATCGTGAAACGAAGAAGAATTACCCAAACAGTCAACATTCCTAGTACTTCCACAACTCCTCTTTTCATCTGAGCTCCTGAACCCTAACATCTTCAAACATTGCAATAAAGAAAGTCTTTATTGCTAGATGTTCCTACACTAAGACACCTAGATAATTTTAAACTTCATGCAATAACTATTACTAAACCTAAACCACATTCACTCAATTTTGAGTGAATGGGTGAAGAATAACATAACCAAATTGGGATAGCTATTCCTCATTTTAATGCCAATCAAAGCATATAGGTAATGCGAATTTCGGTACACAGCAAAATATTCCTGTCCCAAGCAAATGCATATGACAGTTTTCAACATTTTTTCCCTATAGCCTCAGTATATACAGCAATATCTAGTTTGAAATAGAGAATTATGCAAAGTTCATTCAACAAGGCAACAATAATGCCTCAATTCCAAGCTAGTTGGGGTCGACTGTATGGATCTTCAGTATCATAAATACTCTTGTTTGGATCCATAATATTTCGAAAGAATGTACCTATGGATTATGTAACGCGAGGCGTTCTTTAATATACTCTAATGGTTATATCTCAGAATAGTAAGAATCTTCTAGTGCACTAGTCTTCTAGTAGGTATCACCTATACGCAGGGGCATAGCTAGCATAGGACTTGCAGGTTCGGCCCAACCCAGTAATTTTGGTCCAAATAAATTGTTAACTTAGAACTCAGTAACATAAACAAACTAGAATCCCCAACCTACAAGCTTCAAATTCTGGTTCATCCTCTGCCTATACGGATTTACAAATCCATTATTTTCAATCTTTTGTAATGAGAAGTCCGTACAAAATGAAAAATAATTGCCAATCATGAGAACAGACTCCTCAAATTGCCCATTCAGAAAAAAAGCTTCAAGAAATTAGCACAATTAAGCAAAAACAAAACAAACAAATTTCAATCAGAGTTGGATTTGAACTGATATTACACGATATGTCAATATAAAATAACAACGAAAAGCAACAGACGCAAGGAAAAATGCCAATACACCAGCAAAATGAATAAACAATTTTTAGTTTTTTACCTTTTGGGGAGAAAAAACCAACTTCCCAACACATGTAATTGCAATGCCATAGCCATAAACTTTGGTTGGTCCAAAACCTATATGATAAAGGGTCTTCACAGGGACGGAGAGACACTGAGGAAGTTGCACTCCAAACAATATTCTAACTTGCCTTTTCACACACACACACACACAAAAAAAAAATCTCTCTTTTGTCTCTTCATATCACATTGGACTGGACAGCTCCATTTTGTATGTCCCTTTTTGTTTCTTCTTTAGAGACAGTTTCAAAAACGCAACTCTGTTCTTACTTTTTTGTCTGTGGGATTTACAAGGGGTTTATGAGATGCACGAAGTGCGAGGAAGAGAGAAGTAAGGGGCCCAAGTGCAGACAGAAAATAAGTTGAAACAGCTAATACTTCGGCACTTGTAATTTCTCTAAGTACCTACTTTTCTGTAGATGGTGTTGGCACTTTGTCAAACATCTTCAGACTGGTTCGAAAGTATTTGGACTAATTATGATAAGTATTAGTAGTAAATATTTGCGCAGTCATTAAAAAATAGCTATTATTTTGTTGCAACACAAAAGTTTCGGCATAATATACTGGAGATCGGTGCACTTGTGTATGAACTTCCAGCATATTTGCTAGAACTGCAACACGCGAAAAGTTCCAACATAATATACTGGAGATTGAAGGACATGTGTATGAACTTCCAGCATATTATGCTGGACCTCCAACACGCGGAAAGTTCCAGCATAATATACTGGAGATTGGAGAACATGTGTATGAACTTCCAGCATATTATGCTGGACCGGTATATTATACTGGAACTCCAGTATATTATACTGGAGTATTTTCCGGATTTTGAACAGTGTTTTCGTTCAGATTTATCTTTACATGAAAAGTGGCTAAATTTCGATTACTTTTGACACTGTGACTATTTTTGAAGACCACTTGTAAATCTGGCTATTTTTGAATTTCTTCCTAAGTATTACTCCTTCGATTTACCTTAATTGATTTGGGCTGTTACACGTATTAAAAATCGACATTTTGATATTAATTACTATATCTTTCTTTTAATTTAGATGAGATAGTTTGACTCGGTACAAATTTTAAGAAAAAAAGAAAATTTTTAAAACTTGTGGTCTTAAAAGCTTCGGGGGTAAAAGCTTTATGAGACAATTATTTTTGGGGGATTTGCATCCATATCCGCTTTTTGGGTCACGTTTTAACTTGTGCCCGCTTTGCAAAAAAAATTGCAAGCGTACCCACTTTTTCGCATAACTTCAGCATGCGGGGCTGAAGTAGCAAGGCAATCACGCAAAACTTCAGCATTCTAGTAGACGGGCCTGAATTAGCAAAGGCAATACGCTGAAGTTTTTTTTTTCCTGGATAAGATGCTGAAGTTATTTAGTTCATTTGTAAAAACTTCAGCACTAAAATAGCTGAAGTTTTTTTGTCCTGGATTCATTAGTTTTCTCATAAAACCTTTTCAAAAACTTCGCAGAAGATGCTGAAGTTATTTAGTTCATTTGTAAAAACTTCAGCACTAAAATAGCTGAAGTTTTTTTGTCCTGGATTTATTAGTTTTGTCATAAAACTTTTTCAAAAACTTCAGTTCATTTGTAAAAACTTCAGCACAAAATAAGCTGAAGTTTTTTTGTCCTGGATAAGCTTTTTCAAAAACTTCAGCAGAAGATGCTGAATTTATTTAGTTCATTTGTAAAAACTTCAACACTATATAAGCTGAAGTTTTTTTTGTCCTGGATAAGCTTTTTCAAAAACTTCAGCAGAAGATGCTGAAGTTATTTAGTTCATTTGTAAAAACTTCAGCACTATATAAGCTGAAGTTTTTGAAAAAGCGTTCTAACATACTAGATAAATAATAACCTTATTCTTTCATAGTGTATTACTACTATAAAATAATCAGATTGCCAACAATATCTAAATCATAAATTTTTGAAATAATAAACGTGAAAAGAGCAGAATTACATGGAAATATTCACAAATTATTGTCTACTAACTCACATAATTATTTATAATTTGTTTTTAAATAATCTGATAAACATACTTATGGCAATCATCCCATGAACTAAAGTTTCATAGTAGCACCAACAGCAGCAAGAAAGAAGAAGAAGAAGAAAACGAAAGAGGAGAAGGAGGAGGAGAAAGGGGGCTGAAGTTGTTTAAAAAGTGGGTACAAGTTAAAACTTTTTTAAAAAATAGGTATAGGTTAAATGGGGGCGACCAAATAGGGCGCCCCGTGCAATTTTTATATTATTTTTGTGTGGTTATAAAAGCTTCTCATTATGGATAAAGTGAAGAGTTTAAAGTTAAATTATTTCTAATTGTATAAATGTATCATTCTTTTTTAAACGAACTAATAAGGAAAGTGTGTCATATAAATTGTTCATATTAACTTTAGTTTGTTTTGGAAGTATCATATATATACTCTTTACTCCAAGTGTAATTTTGAAAAAAAATAAGTTAATTCTTTTTTATATCTAAAAACGTTAAATGTCACGAAAAGGCTGAAAAGTCAATTGAAATGGACAGGAGGGAGTAACTAAGTAGTAATTCGATAAAAATGTTAACTCAAGCCTATTAATTTTTGTTTTAATGTACAGAGTATCTTACCAATATTAATTGAGTAATCGGATAAAAAAAGTGGGGTACTGGTAAAAAGAAACAAGTTCAGTTTTAAGTCAAGTGTTAAACACGTGGCAGATTGTGATCCTAATCAGTGGCTAACTCCCGTTTGGATATAAATTTTAATTATTTTTTCAAAAAAAAAAAGTAAGGGTACACGCTATCCTTTCTAGACCCCACGGTATGGGATAATATTGGACATGTTATTGTTTCAAAAAAATATTAAAAAACATTGTTGTTCATAAAACTCGATCAATTTCGAAAAAGCTTTGAAGAAATATTTCAAGTTTCAAAAACTGGTTTGGGGCAGTTTTTGGGTGAAACTTTTTCTTCCAAGTGCAAAACTTTAATTTTTTTTCCAAGTAAAATGTATGTCGAAATACAACTTCAACTATACTTTTTTATATTCTAAAGTAGTAGTAGTTCTTTTTAGTACTATTCAATTATCAAAAAACATTTAATAGGGATAAAATTTAGTAAACTATACCTTATACTAATTATTTTCTTAATAGGCATGAAAAGAGCTAAATCAATAATTAAAATGGGACGGAGGGAGTAACTGTTTTTGACCATGATGGAATTGAATAGAGGAGAATAAATAACGAGGATTCTTAAATTGACTATTAACATGGATCCTTTTTTCTTGATTTTTGGAATAATAAGTTACCCTATAAGGCTATAAGGTAGCAAGGGGAATAAATCATTACCCTAACAAACGAAAATCACCATACAACAACAACAACAACCTAGTAGAATTTTACAAGTGGGGTCTGGGGAGGGTAGTGTGTACGCAGAGCTTACTCCTACTCTGAAGGGATAAAAAGGCTGTTCCCGAAAGACCCTCGACTCAAGATAATAAGAAAAAAAAAATCACCATAGTAATGACAAAAGATTGCAGCAGCAAACGACTCTGCTTCAGAGCAACAGTTTAAACCGTGAAAACTACTAACACAAGGGCAGTAAGATATAAATTATTTGACAGAACACTATATACATATCAATCAGTTCAATAAAAATGCTATCTTAAGTAGTTACACCAGAAACAAGTACATCAATCTACAATCAATTAATATTAAAAAAAAAAAAAACAAGTAATTAACTCCTAACATAGCCAAAGAGCCATCAAATGATCAAAATTGTAAAATCCAAAACTTAATTACAGAAAAAAAAAGGAAAAACATTCAACTTATTGAAACAAGCTCTTGTTTTACAGTTTTTTTCCATATCGAAGATAACACAATATACTGATTGCAACTGCAGCAACAGTCGATGCAGCCACCAGGTGCCATTCGGTGTTTACACCAAACATTCCAAACTCATCTCTTTCAGTAATCACATTTTCCTGCTCCTTTATTTTCTGTTCCAATTTAGCAACTTTTGTATTCATCTCTTTAACCCTCTGTTCCAATCTATCTTTTACCATAAGCAACTCCTTTTTCTCCTTTTCCCACTGCTTAATTTTTATCATGAGATTTTTTATCATTTCCACTTGCCTTCAACTTCTCAATTTTCATCAATAACTCATTCCTTTCACTCTCTAATCTACTCAATTTAACACTCAACTCATTTTCTCTACTCTTTAAGTCCTCCAAAATCGCCTTAAGTCGCGATAATTCAGAATTCGACTCCTTCAGATTGTTCATTGCAGTTACCAGATCGTTCTGCAGTCGAGAAACTTCAGTCTCTAGATCATTCTCACCCCCCATATCTGTGTTGGAAAAAAATTACTTGATAATTTGAGAAATTGAAGAATGTGAATTGAACTTTTGTTGAAAGTAATTTTTGTCTGGATAACTGAATAACGAATGAAAGGAATTGATCTCATTTTGTAGTTATATATATATACAATGTGAAAGTTCAAATATGGGATGCTTAAGAAACGATGTGTCTAAAAATTAAAAATAAAGTAAAGTTTATCGTAGGGGAGAATTGTCCTCCATCATGTCATATATTATTACCGTTTGCAAAAATTTAATCCCTTCGTCTCATTTGACTATTAAGTAAAACAATAAAATAAGACTATGGGATGCTTAAGAAACGATGTGTCTATGGAGGACAATAAAATAAGAATTGTCCTCCATCATGTCATTACCGTTCAAATATGGGATGCTTAAGAAGTTCAAATACAGTTGAACCATGACTCAGGCTACGCGCCTTCGCCATAAAATCAAGCCCATGCGCCTTCGCAAGTAAGTTTGGCTACGGTCGAACCAAGACTCAGGCTACGCGCCTTCGCCATCAAATCCAACGAGTTCGACCTCGCTTGAACCATAAGGCTAGACGCCTTCGTCCTCAAATCTAACAAGTTCAACCACAGTTGAACCAGGACTCGGACCAAGCGCCTTCATCATTGAACTCAGCGAAACCCAACCTCCAACGAATCGAGGGGCAGGTTAGGCGCCCTCGCCCTTCAAGTAAGTACTCCCAACTCAAACTAAGATTGGGACACATAAAGTCCGGCCCCGGTCAAACTACAAGGCCGCGTTTCTGTCATCACGGCCGACAGTTCAACCGCGCCCGAACTGGGACTAAGGCTAAGTGCCGCTATCGCCAAGCAACGGCTCCGACTCGCTCACCCCGAGTCGAAGAAGAAGAGTCGTCAACAATTAAAAACTAACATGCCTACCAGAGTCGAACTCGAAGGCAAATCACCCCTTCGAGCGCATGCAAAGAAAAATCTAAGGGGGAAAAAGAGGAGGTACAAAACAGATACAAGGCAAATAACGGAACGGAGATCTCATTTATCCGCGAAATTAATTACGGGTCATCCCCGCTTACACC